CAGCGGGTCGGCGCCAGCTTCGGAGGGACCTTGGGGGAACCCCTCCCCCGCGGTCCCTCCGAAGCCAGCGCTGGCCAGCTGGGGGAAAAGGCTTGGGAGCGACTGCGGGGGAGGGTTTCCCCCGCGGTTCGTCCAAAGCCACTGCCTCCCAGCTGGGGGAAAAGGCGGCGAAAATGGCGGCTGGATGGGGTATACTTTGCTTACCGGTGAGGTTTTCCCCAATAGGAACGCATTAAATGGAGTTTAATGCGTTCCTATGGGTCCCCCCCCCGCATAGCGACTAATCCGGATAGTGACATTAATCCTGGAACGGATTAACGTCGCTATGCGGGCACCACTGTAATCATTAATGCAATTTATGCTTGTACAGTGTCTTGGATGTCATTTTGCACATGCAGCAAAAATGTCCCACTGCTCACACTGTAGTTTGTTGCATGAGGAGTTTGATTCTATGGAGTCCTGGCCTGTATTGAAAAACCAGGAGCCATCTTGTGAGGGAAGTGAGAGACTTATTATAGAGCTACTGTATGATATAAACCTGCATATGTAATACATTGTTAATCCTCACTCACAGTTTACAGTTTACTTTCCTAATTGCACCAGAAAGCACAATATACATTGTGAGGCACTACACTGTGGCTGAGCAATCTTCTAGTAGAAAGTCACTAGACAGTTGGCTTTGCTTTTAATGTAAATATTTGAACTAAATATAAATCTTTGGGATGATTTAAAATAAATAACAATGAAAAGTGGTAGTGGCTACAACAGTGCTGCTTATGTTTTGTTTTTTAAAAAATCTTTCCTAAAGGATATTAGGTTACCCAGTATTCCAACGCTGAAAATTCCTCTAATGGCAACATTTGATGACCTAGATATACAAGTGAATGAAGAAGATGAATTCAAGGCAAGAGGTAAACATAACTTGATAACTGACTTGCTAATTAGATAATTGACATGAATAGTATTAATCAATAAGCATGCACTGTTGCAATTCCATCAATTTGTTGCTTGAAAGCAAATTACCCATGGAAGTTTGGTTCCAAAATTAACCTGCTGATGAAAGGTCTGCAACTTACAGAAGGACCATTTTTCAAAAGCACATTAGCTTTTGAACCGCAGTATGTTCTGCTTGTTTACAAACAAAAGGCTTTGAACTGCTGCAAACTTACTTAAAATAGAATTGTGTGAAGTGTTTAAAGGATTATTCTAGTGCCCCTTTTTCTTCTGTCTGTGGTTATTTGATTCCAGCTATATTGTTTGGACCCAAAGCAATGCTTCCTATGCCTTGCACCTTGGATTGGTTTTTGTTTTGACATTTTCAGATGGAAAACCCCCAGCTATTCTCTCCTTTTTCTTTGTACACAAATAGCATAGATATTGCTAGTGAACATTAGAGCCAGTTACAAAAAATGTAGTATTAATAAAAGTTTTTGTTAATATGATATGCTCGTACAGTGTGTGCTGTCGCTGTTGTGTAATAAATAGAGTGATAGACTAGGATTCAGAGGAGACCTGGGTTCTGATCTCTTCTTGGGTGTGGAAATTCACTGAGGGTTGACACTGGTAAAACCACTCCTTAAATATCTCACCCATCTTGAAAATCCTGTCAGAGTTTGTGTAAATTGGAAGCAGTTTAATGGCATGTAACAAAAACGGCAGTATGAAGTGTCCCTTTGACTCACAGTGATGGTGTTCTTGAACACTGGCAATCTTTGTTTATTCTTTCAATGCATCGCATACCCTTTGGGCAGTAATAGTCCTGATACTTTGCAAGCCACTGTCATGATTAAATTTATCCAGGCCTTATTCTTACATTCTGTAGGTTGTGGCAAATTAAAATAAAAATATGTTTTATCTGGAACTTGTTTTTGCAAGCATGGCTCTTCTCTAAGGCTACATGTTGGGTATACTGGTGAATTGAATGGCTATTGTTGTTCCTTCGGTTGTTGTGTTTATCTCCCATCTTTCTTGACGTGCCAGTGGCTAATCAATACATTAATTTTCTTAGTAAATGGGCAATGAGGACATTTTTACCAACTGTGCTGTGTTTTTCATTCTCTTGTTATTTTTCTTTAGTTAAACATGGCTCCACATTGTATTTATGTATTATACCCTGTATGTGTTTGTCTCTAAAATAGCCAAATATGGATATTGAACTTGCTTTGATACTTACACATGTGAGCACTTCATCAGAATAAAAAGAGTATATTTGCAATTAACTACTTGCCCAGGGCTGGTAAGAATGATCAAACATCCAAGTGACAAGCAGACTAACTAATCTTTTGCACCTCTGCTTATGACTTCAAGATATTTTTCAGGGACAGCATTTTAGTTTAATTTTTAAATAAAGTAAATAGGCTTGACCAAGAACTGCACATGCTGACCAATATCTTTTGAAGTGGAAGGACCCAGCAAAACATGGCTTGGGGCTTCTCCTTATTGTTAATCACATATTGGTTAAATATCCATGTTTTTAAGGAGCCTGATGGTATCCGTTAAACTGCATTACTGCAGTGAAGACTCTGCCCACAACCTGAGTTCAATCCTGCACTCAGGTAGCTCAACCTTCCATCCTTCTGGGGTCAGTAAGTGTAGTACCTAGATCACCAGGGGAGGGAGGGAGGTAATGTGTAGCTTGCAAAATTAAATTGTAAACTGCCCAGGAATAGCTTTAAGCACGATGAGGTGGTATGAAAGCAGCATGTTTTGCTATCCACATTTTTAGACTTTCTCCCTCCCCCCGCCAAGAATTGTGTCGCATGCTCTGCATCATATTGACTCAGTTTTATTCATTGGTGAAGATGTTCCTTTCAGTGTGATGTTCATGTTTTTAAAATAAGTGGCAGGCTAGTCTTGGGGTTTTTTAAGGTTCTAGAATCTAGTTGACCTTGGTTGTCAACAAAACATTCTCTGCATTACCTTGAAAATCTTATATAGATAGGACACTATAGGATAGATTTACTATGAGACCTTGGGTATCATCTAAGGAATATTGTAACTTCTGTGTCACATGTGATCCCTACTTTACTGTTATGAAGCAGTAAAGCATTGTCTAATTTTTATGTGACATTGGTTATATTTTTGTTTGTTTCTCAAACAGCTGCTTCATTAATGTAGTTTTGTTTGTTTTTACATATGTGGCAATCAAAGAGAAGTTGTGCTTTTAAACAGTGATACGTTTTAGGCCTACAATAAGACATTGATGCACTGGGGAAGCCAGGTGGAGGGTTGAATTTCACGTATAAATTGGAATTAAATATCTGGTGCCCTGGATACAGGTTTAAGAGTGACAGCAAATTTTTTCACAAGGCAGTCACATTGTGTTCTGAACAGCTTTATGGATATAAAATACCAACTAGTATTCTGTTGCAAATTTATACTGGCAGAAGTGTAACTGCACAAATCATAACAGCAAATTGTTGCTAATTAGTGAGTTGCCACTCACATTCTTTGCTGTTAATTAGGACTAATTTACCACTGCACTTTACAGAGTTGCACTTACACCACTGTAAATCTCCAATAGCATCCAGGCCATTGTTTCTGAGTATTTGGCAAAGTATTTCTTTCCCCTATGTATTACACTTTTTTACATTTTTCTAGTGCTGAATAGTTTTTCCTTTTCCGCAGGTCTTACAGGCTTGAAAAATATTGGAAACACGTGTTACATGAATGCAGCTTTACAAGCTCTTTCAAACTGGTAAGCAAAAAAGTTTATGTATAGGACATTGTGCCTTTCAGTCGTCAGAATCTCCATATGATCAAGAAGCCTCTGGTTAGTGGTGAAGATCAATATTTCTTCAATAATGTTATAGCAGTAGCTCTTATGTTCTGAGCTGCTTGTCATTCTTGCATGAACATTGTCATAAAATGGATTGTATGTTCTTTGAAACTTTCAAGAGTTGTATCTGTGTGCATGTTGAATATACTTTCCTGAATCTCCTAAATTCAGAAGTCAAATGATACAGTATGATTTTTACACTAATTGCAACTTAGTGTAGCATTAGTGTAGCATAGTAAGTCACAGTTTGAGTTGGCCGATTTAAATCAATGGAATTTACAGAGGAGTTGATTCACTAAATCCCCGTGGATCTATTTTAGTACAATTTAGTATGCTAATCAACAGAATTTTGTGAACAAAGTGATTTTTTATGTTCTTCCAATATTAATTATTTTTGAGTATTTTAATAGGTTGCCTTGGATTCTTCTAAAGGACAAAATGAAAGGCTTTCAAAAAATAAATGATTAAATCCTTATATTCCAGATCTCTAAAGAACTGAAGTATATTCAAACTTGAGATAAAACATATGCCCAATGACAGATTCAAAAGTAAAGGTTTAAGGGAAGGTTTTAATGTTTTTAGAGAAAGCATGATCACAAGCTCATTATTTTTGTATAGTGTTAATTGATCTGTTATTAAGTAGAAAAGATGATACTATTGCTACCCAATATGAAATTCTGCCTCAGCAAATACTTCTCTGTGACATAAGGTGCTCTCATTGTTCATCTAGTGCAAAACTGAGAGCTAGCACAGATATTCAGAATTTCAGTTATGAAGGTTTTTTTTTTGCTTAATCAACAGGCTAGTTATCTGAAGTTTGAACCTCATTGTACAGTTTTGCAATGTGTGATGTGGCAACAGTAAGACCTGTTTTTCCCAGGTAGTAGAACTACTTGAAGTAGTGAAAATACCTGAGCTGTTACATAGGTACCATGGAAATGTTTGTAACACTCACAATGCATAAAGAAGGTAGGGTGAAGGCATAGTCTAGTCGGATCCATCAAGGCTTGCTCTGTGCATTTTATGCATTGACCTTGTATAGTAGTACTTACAGGAATGGTGATATGTAAGTATGCCTTACAAAATAGTAGAATTGTGCCCTTTATCAGGGAATGAAATTGCTTTGGCATGTCTAGTATTGCTTCAAACTACCAGTAGTCTTTTTGTTTATTATCAGCCCGCCATTGACACAATTCTTCCTTGACTGTGGGAACTTGGCTCAGACAGATAAGAAACCAGCCATCTGCAGAAGTTATTACAAACTTATGACAGAACTCTGGCATAAAAGCAGGTATTGTACTACTGTCTTTTGTAGGATATACTTTCTATATGAGCCTCTCAGAATTGCTCATCTGTTACATTGAATGCAGCTCTACATAATTATCATGCTCATGTTCATATGAACTTTTGGATAATATAGACCTTCAGTTGAAATGGGACACTTTTTGGTTCCGTGGCAGGGTTTTGCTTTTTGGCCTTCAATTTTAGGAAGCAACTGCTGAAGCAAGATGCATTAAAATAAAAAGAGAAGAGAACCCAACAGAGCAGCTGAACGCAGCTGTTCCAACATCGCCATCTTGACTCTTCTCCCAACTGCTGATGCGATAAGTATGCATAGAGGCAGATTGTCATGAATGGTAATAGCAAGACTTCTCAGTGCAATAAGCTTCTTAGGTGACATTCTTGTACACATTTTTCCTGGCAAACCCCCACTAAGGTCAGTGGGGCTTACTGCTACATAAGTAGGCCTGTATACAGGGTTGCACTGTGACCATTTCAGGCTGCCTACTGATCGATGGTATTAAAAGAAATAATGTATTCATAGTATTAGTTCAGTGTCTTCATGGAATCATTTCAGACCTCTAGTCTATTATTTATTTAATTTTAATTTAATATTAATTATTTATATGCTGCCTTTCTCATAAGGGACCTGAGGCGACTCACAACAGATAAAATAACAAATACGTATATTTCCTTTTGCAGTCTTAATTTATCTGCTTTTATATATAAACCAGGAGCCATGGGGAGTTGTTGGCTGTATAATAGTCTGTAATATACACAGCAGAGTGAGAAAAGTGTGCCGTGACCAAAGTGTTTCAGATGTTACGAGATTTCATTGTACATTGTCACTAGATGGAAGCACTCTGCTTCCAGATACAGTGGTGCCTCGCATGACGACGTTAATTTGTTCTAGCGAAATAGCTGTAGAACGAAAACGTCGTAATGCGAAAATAAGCCCATAGAAACGCATTAAAACCCGATTAATGCGTTCCTAGGGGCTTGAAACTCACCGTCCAGCAAAGATCCTCCATAGCACGGCCATTTTCGCTGCCTGTGCAGCGAGGAATCCGTCCCAGAAAACAGCGGGAAGCCATTTTATTTCCCTGGAGGAATCCGTCAAACTGCCGATCAGCTGTGCGAAAATCATCGCTTTGCGAGAATCTGTTCCCGAAGCAGGGAACCGATCATCGCAAAGCGAAATTCCCCCATTGAAACCATCGTAAAGCGATTGCTTTTGCGATCGCAAAAAGTTCCCAGTCTAGCAATTCCGTCGTTAAATGGGGCGCTCGTAATGGGAAGCACCACTGTACTATTAAAAAGATGCCTTTGGGAAGTTGCAGAATTGCCTTGAGAGAATTCTGGTTAATTACTTCAGTATGCTGCTTAATTGGAAGATACTCCAATCACTGAGAAACAAAATGGCTCTAGTTTCCTTTTCATACTACTTTTTAAGGGACATATGGTGCTCATTGAATTGGAAGGCGTAAGAATGAATGACTATAAATTTGTATGAATACTTTTGTGTGTTGCTGATAATGTGTGAAAGCAATAGCAGCACATCAGTACTATCCCAAGCAGTGCTCCTAATTGAATGCCAAATAAGACAATGAGAAGTGAGTAAACAGCACTCAAATTTCATGTCAAGGTTAGGGGGGGATACATAGGCTTTGTGTTAAATTATATTTTAAAGAGTCTGAAGACTTTGGTTCTGTACTCAATTACATGGGAGTAGGTCCCATGGAATTCAGTGGGAATTAATTTTGAGCAGACATGCTAACACAGACTAATAAATAATTAGTTTGCTGGTGTAGACTGCTCTGCAGTTTGAATATAATAAATAGAAATATTCTACTCTGTTTGAGAACTTGTGAATTCACTTAACATTATTTTCTTCCAGGCCTGGGGCTGTTGTCCCCACAAATTTGTTTCAAGGAATTAAAGCAGTTAATCCAGCATTTAGAGGCTATTCCCAACAGGTAAACATTTCTTAAACCAGCAGAATCTTGCTTAGTAAACAGCTGAAGGAATGAAAGAGATAAAACTACAGGTGTGATTTGCTTGAATTTGCTAGCCAATTGCTGAACTTTCTGTACTCATGCTATTTTTCCCCCTTTGGGATATGTAAAAAGAACAGTTGATATAATAAATTCCAACTGGGTCCAACATTCTGGAATAGGACGTAAAGATATTAAAATATAACAAATTATAGCCCAACATAAGGAATTAATGACTCACTCATTTTTTGCACTTTTAATAATGCTGGTAATAGACAGATGACTATTACGTTCATAAGCAAAAATTCTTGAAAATCAGGCAGAGGCATCTCCCACTTTTTCAGGGAATCTTCCCTTTGGACTTCCCATAACAATCTGCCTGTTCACTGTGGGTAATTGACACCCAGAATAAGTATTTCAGGGGGTTGCTGTGAGCTGAAGAGGAAGGGAAAGTCCTATGCAGCCAATGCAATTCCTTGCATTAGGATCTACCCCTATAATTAAATAGTAAACTACTAAATTATAAAATTAATCAAGGCACATTTCATATACTTTATATAGCAGAGTAACTTTATTTCATATATGTCATCATTGAAATGTTCTTTTAACTAAAGATGTAATCAAAATTTCAGGATGCGCAGGAATTTCTGCGTTGCTTAATGGATTTGCTTCATGAAGAGTTAAAGGAGACTGTCATTTCGATAGAAGATACTAACCCAGCAGATTCGGAAGAAAATGTTGAACATGAGAAGATCCAGTCAGATGGTAGCTTTCAGTCATGTGGTAGTACTGATAAAATAGAAAATGAGACTTGGTCAAAACCTGTGGCAGAGGACCACACAGAAGATGCCATGTTAATTGAAGATGATGAAACTGCATCTAAAGACTACCAGAAGGAAAAATCCTCATGCACCAAGATAAACCAGGCCAACTCTGTGGAAGACATAGAAAAAGATGTAAACAATTTCTTTGAAACAGCTGAATTGTTGAATAACCAGGAAACGGTGAAGGTGCAGATACACGGCAGATATTCAGGTGATCATCTGCTTGTTACTTGAATGCGGCAGGGGCACATGTCTGCATAGAAAAGCAGTTGGACTCTGTTTACC